CGCCGTTCACTGCGGCGCATCGCGCCATCTGCTCTCCCCGCGGCTGCGAGGGGGGACGCAGGAGAGCGGGACGAGAGGCTGAGACGGCTCCCTGAGCCCTTCGGGCTGCGTTTCTGTGCGCGGCTTCCTGTGCCACTCGGCCCAGGGGTTTCTGTTCTGCAGCCTTAAATGGCGCATTTTTGCTCAGGAAAATGAGGCTATTTAATGTAACGCTCTCCCAGAAGGCACGAGGAGCATCTGTGGAGTGTTTGTATACGGGGGTGACGCACGAGCCCTGACACGGCCGCTTTGGGGCACGAAGGGCTGCAAGCGGCAGGGCCACCTATCCCGCAAGGCCGGCTTCCACAGAGCGACTGCACTACCAAACGATTCCTTACTTTACCCTTCTGGACAAATAAATCACTGCAGAAAACTCTTATAAAAGCGCTAGGCCTGCTCAGAAGACCTTCCCACGTTATCCAGGTTTCTCTGGCCTGCTCATTCGTGGTCCCTCTTTAAGGCTTTCCCTCTGTTCTCCAGTTCCCAGCTTCCCTCTTCCTCCAGTTGCCGGCTCTGCTCACGCGCCGGCCTCAGCTTTATGGAGCTGCCCTCTCCTCCGGGGCCTGCCTGGAGCTGATCCACCAGCTTCATCATTTATTTATTCCCCTGCAAACCCAGCTGTATTCCGCACGCAGCCTGCAAGTGCTGGGGAGTTGGCGCTCGTTCCTCATAGCAAGACTGGACCTTTCTGCACCCGGAGATGAGTCAGCTCGGGAATCATCACCACCGTGTGAATCACGGTCTCGTGCTTCTGCCTTCTCCCGACTGCTTTGGCACCGGCTCTGGCCGTGCCCACGGCTTGGCCGCGGGGCAGGACCCCGTGTCGTGGCTTCACTCCTGCATCTGCACCATGGACAGCCCTGCCCGCGGCTATTCCAGGCCACAAGCCCCGCTCTAGCGCTACAGTATTGGCATCTGGATCTCTTTTCCCATGTTTTTTGCCATCCTGTTTCTTTTCCGACTGCCACTTTCTTCCTTGAAGCCAACTTCTGACCTAGTAATTTTAGCAAAACCAAACAGAAAAGCAAAGGATGTAAATACTTCCAGGGGGGCCTTAGAGCTCCTTTCCCGTGAGCGGAGCTGTTGAAGGCCTCTAAGACAGCGCACGTGTGACAAGCACGAGGGCAGGCGGCTGTGCCGGCACTGCGTGCAGCCGGGGGGCCGATGGGCCCTGCTGGAGGGTCAGGGATGGGGACAGACACCCCCGGGCGATGCCAGCTCCAGGCAGGCGCTTCCCGAGCGCCCCGAGTCGCTGCCGGGCGCCGCGTCGCTCTCCCGCCCCGGGCACCAATGTGGGACTTGCTGTTCGGCTCCGGCGCCCGCTCGTACTGACCCGCTGTCCCCGTCTCCCGCAGGCCATGGCGATGGGGATGATGACCGAGTACAGAGCTCAGCTTGGCACCAGCTTCGGTCCCACTGAGCACGGGCTGCTTCTGCCGCGACTCCGGGAGGCATTTTGGTCGGGGGGTTTTGGCATGCCACTTTTATTTCCATTTAGGATGCTATTGTCTAGTATTCTGCTGAATTTTTGTGCAATTTTGAAAATCCAATTTATCTTTTTGCCTTCAGGAAAGAAACAGACTAAACTAACCCTTAAAAACTGCAACATTTATTTTTCAAATGCAAAAGACATTTTAATTACCCCTGCTGCCATTATCTATTCCAGGCAGCTTTAAGCATTTCCCAGATAACCTCCTATTAATCAGCCCCAGCTGAGCCTAGAGTACATTTCATGTGTAGGTACAGCCTGGAGGTGGAAAAAAAAAAGAATTATAATAAATTAATAGATAAGCAATCACAATTAATGCCACTTTCCTGAAATAACAGTTATATCTTGGGAAAGATATTTTAATCTGTCATTCCTTAAGGCGATGTTTTCCTAGCTTGCAATGCATGTGCTTCTGCTTCTCCAGTTGTAGACCCATGGGGTGCTAATGAATTAGTCTATTATGTTATACTGAATGTTTCTAAAAGGTCCCTAGTCGATAGTGAGTGCAGTGCATCAACACTCGCCATGAAATGCTTCGGCGCTGCTCGGCAGCGAGGCCGGCTGCGTCGCCAAGGGCCTTGGCTCGCTGCTTCCACCCGGGAGAAGCCCTCCTGGGCCTT